TTCACAGAATATTTACGGGATCTACAAGGTTGGATGGAAACGCTATCGGTAGGTTTTATCTTTTTTTTTTTTTTTTTTTTTTTTTTTTTTTTACCTAAAACCAGCTTTTAACATCACATTCTTCATCTAGCTGTTTTCCTGAGCAGGACAAATATGATCTCCCCAAAGATTCTATGGGAACAGGAACTGGCAAATAATCTTTTTCTGTGTCATTTCTTCCTGTAAAGTGAAAGGAGGGAAACTGCACACACATAGGTGGATGTGCGTGTGTCAGACCTGAGCCCTTTGATAATTTAAAATAGGAAGGTGGTTGGCTTGCTCACATGCTGCACCTTGGTTTTTCAACACTATCATTTGCAAGTGCTTGTTCCTGGGAAGTAGAGGCATGGGAAATTAAAGAACCCAGATATTTCTGGGTTTGTAAGTTTTAAGATAGCAACTTCCATGTTTCCAGGAATGAGAAATCAAAGACAGTAACCTGGAATTACCTGCCAGCATGATACACTGGTTGTTTTTTTCAGCTACACATCATTAGTCAACATAGCTGTTTTTGACGTGCTCTGGTTTTTGATTCTTCTGAAACCTTTAGTGAAACTCAGGAAGGCAAACCAGAAGGAGGGCAGCTCTTGTTTTGTACAAAAGGCAAAACCCAACTTTATCAGCCCCTTACAAACTGAACTAAAATATGTTTTCTCAAAAAAAGCAATTTCCTCTAGCCAATAAATCTTCAGGCTGTCTTTTTTTTCCTTCCTTTTTTCAGCTTATGACTTTTTCTAAAGGGGTTTCAAAAGTGCAGGTCCCCAGGGCCTCTCTTGCCTCTTCTTTCATGCTGTTCAGTCCTTCAGAAGAGAAAATACGATCTCACTTATACAGAAATTAGTGATTTTTAAAACGCCAAAGAATTTTTGTTATTTTGTGGCTCTTTTATTGTTAAGAGTTCACCACTGATTTCATCATTCTTTTCAGTATACTCTTTTCTCGTACATGTTTGTATCCAGTGTGAAAACACCTGAAAATGTGGGTTTTCCTGGAAAATGGATTTTGGTGGAGACAAAAGGCAGAGTTTGTCCAGGTCCTCAGAAGTCTCTAAACCAAGTTTAAAACAAGTAAATGCGCAACTTAATGGGTATTTGCTTCACTTAATATTGACATTTTGAAGTTTAAAATAAAAATCTACAAAACAGGATGTTTCTCAGATTTGATTTAAAACTCTGAATATGAAGATACAATGGTAGGGGTAAGGTTTATGTACAGTCATTCACTAGCCCATATTCACTCTCATACTGAATCCTTTCACATACTACTGTTACTATAAAAGCCGTAGCTGTCAACCAAAAACACGGGAGAGAACTGCGTTCACAAATGTACCTACAAAAATTGACACCTGTTCCCAAAGTATTTTCTCACTGCTAAACTCACTACAGAAGGTGGCTGAGAGATGCTTTCTTTAAAGCCAAATCATCTTTTTCTGTCTGCCTCTCTCAAAACATATATGATTCAGAGTTATAGCTGAAAGCCAAGGTTTTCAGTGTCAGGAGTCTACAAAAATAAGTTAATCAATGTCTTGTATTCAAAGTGCTTTAAGCTTTGTACAGTACATTGCCGTGTCTTCTAGGGTTATAAATCCAGTGATCCTATTCCCATTCTGCATCCTGACAAATGCATTCATCTCTCATACCTATAAATCCTTTTCAGAGCAAACACTCTAGGTACTTACATTTTAAAAAGTGACTGAAAGCTACATAGCTGAGAAATGCTAATCCTCCATGTTGATGCAATGGGCGTGCAGAAATAGGTACCAGGCATGATCATTATCTGGGTGCAAATGCATCCCTTCTAGTTAAAAGCAGCAACTAAACAAATGTGGTGTTACAGCAGAGCATTTCCAATGGGAAGCGAAAAAATAAGCCATAGCAGTACCTTTTGAATGCCTGCGGTCGACTCCATGACATTGTTCTCCGAGCCGTTACTTCTGTTAATCATCCGCCACATTTGGGAATACATGCTGTCCCTCTCGAAAGGATTCATCCCTTTCACTCGGACGTGCTCATAGACTGCGGAGTCCAAGACAGTGCCATAAGGAATATCCGTCTGCCTTGAGAGATCCTGGAGAGACCTTAATTGTTGGTGAAGAAAAGAGACACAGGAGACTTGAAGCCACATTTTCAAGAGGAAGGAGATGCAGGCAAGCAAAGGGCAACACATAGGAAGACGACTGTCAAGCCAGTTTCTTTTGTTGTTTTGTCTTTTTTTCTTAAAGGACAACGTGAGACTGAAAATTTATTTTTATGGTTTAAGACACAAGGAGGAATATGAAGTGAGAGGAAAGGGTAGAAAAAATGAAAATGGAAAAAAAGAGAACAACAAAGGAGTAAGAGAATCCTGTCAACTACTGAGAGCTCTTTTGAGCAGAGGCAAGAGAGAGAAGGGAGCATTGCAGTCCCTCCAGCCAGACACAGCAAGTTCTACAGAAGTAACCGCCTACAACGGGACAGTGCCACCGCACACCACGCTACTGGGGAGCTGGAGTGTCAGCACTAGAACTCACTGAATCTAGCCCAAAGCATCTGGGCTGAGTGCTTCTATGTGCTACTGGGTCACACGGTGAAGAGCAGCTTTTCGGTGGTGTTTCTACGCTGAACTGTGCACCCATTACACAAAGCAGGTCATATCCTACATTATTTTCAGCAAAAGAAGAATTCTGTTGTGGTTTCATGAACTGTGTTTTCATCACATTTCATTTAGTCCAGTAAATTTGCTCTACCTTACATATTATCTATTCTTATCCATTCCCTATAAAAAGGAAAAATTAACCTGTGTAGAAATTTCTAGACCATCACAAATATGGCTTTGTCAATTCTGCTTTGGACTTTAAAAGGTATATTAGAACCCTTTAAAGTCTTCTTACCTCTTGTCCTTTATTTTCCTATCCTCTAGAATTGCTCTCCCATACCTTTGTTTCTTTAATGGCATTCATTAAAGTTTCAAAATAACTACTGCAATATGTCTAGTGCCTAAAACCCATTACAGTTTTCCTGGCACAAATTAACTGTGTATAAACTACACAAATCTAGCGGATGACATCTAAGGACAAATCAAGGCTGCGAGTGCTGTCCTAAAGTAGACAATAGTAATTTATAAAAGCTCATCTCAGCCACAGAAAATGCAAACACAAATGTAGGAAACTCATCAAATTCCAAGTTGTGTTTCTGAAACATGTCCAGTGAAAAATGGCCCTACAGGAAAAAAAAAAAAAAAAAAACAAGCTGGAGCGACCAGCAGTGTGCCTTCCAATGACACAGGGATGAGCTGAAGATCACAAGTTCAGAGTTAGGGGTAAGAGAAAGGAGGAGGACTCCAAGAAAAAATGCCCCAAAAAAAAAAAAAAAAAAAAAAAAGAAAAAGAAAAAAAAGAACACTTAGGATTTTCCAGGGATGGCACTGAAGAAAACAGTAATCTGATCTCAAAGGATACGTGTACCTCTGAACACAAAAGAAAGCAGGAAAAGACAAAATCAATAGAGCCCAATGGCAAGGGTTTAGAGGTTAGTTGAGTCGAAAAGAAAACCCTTTGAAATTCAGACATATAGGCTTAGAAAAACATTGAACAAGAGCTAAATTCTAAGCAGATAATATATAGCTAATATAAGGAAGGGATAAATTTAATTTTGAAGAGTAAATAACTAATGGTATTAAAACCCCCACAGTCCTCTCCTCTTTCTCCAACAAGATAGCATTCCCCTTCAAGAGCATAAGCAGCAGGGAACCTGCAAAGAATCAGTACACATATGGGATCATCAAGGGTGAGCTGCTAGATGAAGCTTTTCCTGAAACCAAATATATTGGCCTTCTATGAAAGGGCTAAGTGCCCTTTTCGAGGAAGAAAAATGTGACGCTCTAGTAGACTACAGTGTCAGGAGAATAAGTACTGCAGCTAACGTGGAATTGAAAAAATAAAAAAAAAAGGGGGGAAATATGAATGTAAACAACTAAGACATTACACTTAGGTTTAATAAATAAGCTGAAATAAGAATTGATAAAATTTTAAAGATCAGTCCTGAAGATAAGACATAGCCAACAAGTGGGTTTCTCCAGGGAAAGCACTTCAATAATCTATTACACTTTGAAATTATTAAAAAACCCCGAGACTTTCAAAAGGCCTTTATGACATCAGACAATATACAGAAGGTGGAAGTATGGACAGGCTACAAAGGGGAAGTTTAGAAATATTTTCTGGTAACTCCGGATAGCATTAGGAAAGTCAGCACTCAGCTAGAGTGGATGCTCTCAAGGGACCTCAAGGGTAATAAGAACAGCTTTTGCAGAACTAAAAGGCTGAACAATGAAACCTGTAGAGAGGGACAGCAGACACAGCTAAAGCTGAGGTGCTCTGTGCCGCCTTTGTCTCACTCTTCTCCAACAAGGTCTCCCAGGTCTCAGCAACTAAATGCAGGGTTCAAGGAGGCGATGAACAACCAGCAGTAGGTGGTCAGGTGAATCCCAACCAGAAAGGCAGGGATTGATTGAGAGCACTAGAACCGTATGGGTCCATGGGTCCTGGCAGGCTGCATCAAAGTGTGCTGAGAGGGCTGGCCAATGTCCTTGCAAGGCTGCTTGCTTTAATTCTTGAAAGATGGCGGAGATTAGAGGAGATCCCCGATCACTGGGAAAAGGAAATGTCCAAACTATATTCAAAAAGATAAAAAAGATGATTCATGGAATTAAGTCTAGTCATCCAACATCATGGAGTGTGTCCTCTCAGATCCAATTCCTGAGAACATGAAGAAGCAGCTGACTGGGAACAGTCAACATCGATTTACCAAAGGTAAGTCATGCCTGACCATTCTGGTTGCCTTCTACAGTAAAATGACGGTTTGTGGACCGACCAGAGAAATGGATGCAGTTTACTTTTACTTTAGCAAGGCTTCCAATACCGTCTCCCGCAATATTCTTGTATCTAAATCAGGTCTGGCTGGGTGGGAATACAGATGGATAAATTCCTGGTTGGTTAATCAGACTTAGAGGGTAAGTCACCTGGAGGCTGATAACAGGTACCCCAGAGGAGGTAAGCAAGCACCCTCTTGTCAAGTTTGCAGATGACATGACATCGGGGAACCAGCCGATTGCTCAACGACAGACTGCCATTCAAGCAGACCTAGAAAGGCTGGAGGAATGGGCCTACAGGAGCGGTGTGGGATTCAGCAAGGAAAAATCCCAAGCCCTGTACCTGGGGAGGAATTGCCCCCTGCAACAACCCACTCTGGGGTGCAGCTCTGCAGAAACCCACTCTGGTAGACACCAGTGAGCCTTGGTGAGAATTTCTCTCGCCGTTAGGCAAAGCGTTGCGTAGAAGGAGGTGTGTTACTGTTGAATTGACAGTCCACCTATCTGTCAAAAGCATCACTGATATAAGGCACTGGATAAATACAAGATACTATACTCATCCATTCTGTGTTACAGCTGCTGTTGCCAATATACTTCTGCATCTCCTGGCAATGCTCAGAAGTGTAACAAACTGTCACAGGATGCATATTGTAATGTCCTGTAATTGCTGTGTTATTTGTCACACATATTGCTAGAAAAGTATACAGAAAGTATTTACTGAGTCTCCAATTTCTAGTGACAACACCTAGCAAAATTGCAATCATTACAAGACTCTGTATAGCCATATAATTTTTAACATAACAAGCAACAAAGCATTTTCCTGAAATATCATTGCTAACTGGTGTATAAATGATATGTGTAGCTGCTGCTACAAAACAGTACAGTTAGAAACAGCACAAAAGAAAAACAGCTCCTCTGTATATCTTGTGGCTATAAAAGCAATCTTACTATTTTCAGAAAGGCAAACCAAAACAAGACATGAGCTGCTAGTCCAGGAGTGTACTACAAAGCAAGCAAGAGTGCCATCACACACAAAGGCATCACCAGCAGGGAAATAACAAGGAGGAGAATTATGTCGATGCCTCCAGGAAGGCATGTTGTAACTGCCAAGTCTGGCATTAACTACAGGCTGCAGTGCTCTGCTCTTTGGTGCGCTACCCTAAAACACAGGATGCCTCTCAGCTGCCCTGCTCTGCAACTCTGCACAGTTGTAGGTGCCGCTTTATGCTGCGAAAATGATGGCAAGAGGACAAGAGCAAGCCAAGTATGAGTGTAAACTCTATGGATGTGCTGAATGCTGTTGTCAGCAGTAAAGCCCCGACCCTTGGTTTGCCTGACCCTGTGCCGAGGAGTGAGAAAGAAGCTTTGCAGCCTCTGAGGTGTCCACGTGCGTATGCTGCTGCGTGGGCAAGCTGCAAACATGGAAAAGACCTATCACATCAGTGACTTCATCCCCTCACACAAACATGTCAAATGGGATCATAATATATATAACTTCCTTCAGAACCTGTTTTTTATAACCAGGAACTCTGCAGACTACTGGCATGACATTCGCAACCTAGCAGCCAAGGTACAGCAAAACAAAGAGAAATGACAAACCTTGTCAGAACTAATACAATTATTAAACCATTGAGGTTCCTTTCCAGAAGAAAGAATTTTTATAACTGCTTTGCCTCCAGTCTGGTTTGTAGGTTACATATTGTTTGATGTACCTTTATTTCTGGATTAAACAACTCATTCTCTGTTGAGACAAATACATTTAGTGGAGACATAAATCCCCAGCCTCGCTATGTCACCCAGTCTCACCACACAGCTGCCGTACCAGAGCCCAAAATAAGGAAAAAAGTAGTTGTCAAACAGATTAATTCCTATGGGGTATACTCTGATGCCCAAATTCTGATACTGTTATCCACACTGGATGGGAATTTTGTAATAGTTTTAATGATCTCAGTAAAGCAAAGCACATATAGAACATGAATAAGGGAATAACAATATCAAATTTTAAAACATTTATCTCTCTGAATTTCTAATTTTGAAGCAATAAGGCAATGAATGCTAAAAGTTTTAAAAAATAATAAAAAAGCATATATAGTTGAAAAAATTGTTATAAAATACTTTTAACTGAGCTTGCATACAGAAAAATTCTATTCATAGAGAAGTGACCATGAAGTAAGGTTACAGTCCAGCTTATTTTTGGTTATCACTTATGAAGCATTGTGGGGAAAAATGTTA